ATAAAGACATAATTGATTAATTATTCTCATATAAAAAATTTATCAATGATATTGATTACACATAATTAAATCTAAGAAACTTAAATAATCCTAGATGTATAAAATAAGGATGTGATTTCGTAGACTCAACAATACATTCTTTTGTCAAATATCATAATCACCAAAAGAACAATTATGCAACATTTAGAAAATTTTATTTTTTGCATAAATAAAAAAATATAAAATGAATTGCTTAAATAGAGGCAACAAAAAGAAGAAATAGTAATGAAAAGATAATTTGTTAATGAATGAAGGAGAAAATTATGCACATTAAAGATTTATTATTTTTTTTACTTGGACAAATTTTTAATTTTACTTATAATTTAAGAAGTTAAATTAAATTAAAATTAGACAAACTTTTGGAGATGTGAGTATAATTTCTCCTAACTTTTTTTTTTTTAAATCCGTAAAAATAGAATATATTGTCATTCACGCATATTGCTCAAACAATTGAACTAAATTTCTTTAATTATAATAATTTTGGAAATAACATTATTGATTATATTAGTATTATTAATATGATTTCCAAAATTATAATATCATCCTGTGAAGCAAATGTTGTATAAGTAATCTTGAAAAACAATATATTAAAACGCACGTTTCTCATCTAAACACAAACAAATGTCTTAAAATTAAAAGATTTAATATAAATTTGACTAAATCAAATTTCTAGTCCTTTTATAATACCAACTTTATAATTTGATCCTTCTATTTTTAATTTCATAATTTTAATTTTTAATTTTATAAAATTCACAATTTTAATTTATTTATTGAATATCTTTTCATTGATTATTAACGTTTATCACAAACTAAGATTAAGTAGAAAATACGATAATTAATATTAAATAATATTTAGTAAGATTTACACTTTTAATCCTCATTTTTAATCTCATAAAAATGATAAAATAAGATAAAAATAAAATAAAAATAATAATTAAATGTGTAATTTAGTCTAAATATTATTAAATAATATTTTGTCATCTACCTAATATGATTTACCTAATATTAAATCATGATCAATGTTTAAAGCTTAATGATCAATAAATAAACACCTATACGTAATCAAAGTTGCTTATTTTATAAAATTTAAAAATTGTGAAATTCAAAAACTGATAATTTAATATTATAAAAAAATTAAAAGTATAATTTAACCTTTAAAATTTGGCAAAATGAAATACCTTATTATTACTTATTAGTTTAGCATTTTTTTTACTCATCTCATATATAATAGGTTAAATTTAATTAATTTAAAATTTTTAATGCATTTTATTTGTTAATAAGCATAAATTCATAATTTAAATAATTTATTTTATAATTTGATGTTCAGTTTTAAAAGTCATTTATTTTCTTAAAATATGCATTTTACAATTATCATTATATTATAAATAATGATAATTTATACTTATTAAATTAAAGAGTACTTGTATAATGACAAAATAAAAGCATTTGGTCCTCTAAGAAAAATGTGGAATTTAGATAATCAATAAAAGTGACTTGACTTATTTAGCATTAGTGTCTTGTCTTGGTTGGAACGTGGAGGCTGCTTTACTATTGTTCCACGGCTTGCAAATTACTCATATATTTTTTATTTTATTTAAATTTTTTTTCTTCTACGTGTTAGTTATTGACTTCAAGTTCAAGAGTTTGAATCTTGTCTTGTGTATGCAGCCGCGCTAAATCTTGGGACCAATTATCCCACCCTTTGAGGTGCTTTCAATGTAACAAGGAGATTAGTCACTGCTATCGGCGGTGAATACTCCAGGAACAAAAAAAAAAAAATTATTAACTTCAAGTCTCCTCAGAAATTATATTTTATTTTTAGAATTGGTTTAAATAATTTTTAGGGTTTACGCACTATTGGTAATCACGTGACAAAACAAACTCGTTCAAAGAGTGACAAAAAATAAATAAAGTTCTAAATACAAAACATATGTAAACACAATTATACTACTGCTAATGTAAATTTCAATCAACCGTTGTGTCAACTAACATCAATTAATATCCAAATTAGGCAACTGATTTAAGAGATTCTGTTACTTAATTGAATTTATAGTTCACTCTAAAGAGCTTAACAATAAATGAAAGTTGTAAGGTAAAGTATAATTAAGATTATAATTTGTCTCCCTATAATACACATTCATGAAGGAGTCTCTCTGTCATGACTAGTACACAAATAACTAGCTCAATGACTGTTACTTTTCAGCTTCTTGCATTGACTATTAGTCATTTAATTATGAGTAGTTGTTTTCAAAACGGCTACCTATAACTATCCTTAATTGTCTTTGACGGCTGATGGATGTTGACCAACATTTTTGGTGCCAACAACTACAAGAACACAAATGATTCTCGAATTGGAATGGTCAATCATCAGAAAAATAAGGGTTTGATGGCGCATAGTATAAATTTGTTAGAAATATACCTAAATATCTTTAAAAAAATAAATTAATTTTTGATAAATATATATATATATATATATATTTTTTTTTTAAATATTTAAATTTAATTTGTTTTGATTATTTTAGAATTTATATTCTTATTTTTAGAATAAGATAATATTAATATTTAATTTTGTATGACAATTTTTTCTATAAATAAAAATCTCATAAATAAAATTAGATTATATTCTTCTGATAAAAATTATATCTTTACAAAATACAAATACAAGATAACTCATTGTTGGTATCTAGAGTTAAGGTTATTACCTATGGAGATGGAAGCAAAAACAAATTTTTCACAAATTTCCCCACCTATTTTTTATGGAGAAAGTTACGATCGTTGAATGGTAAGAATGGAGACATATTTAAAAACTTTAGATCTCTGGAAAGTCATAGAAGAAGATTATGATGTTTCCTAGTTGTTAGACAATCTTACCATAACCCAAATGAAAAATCACAAGGAAAAGAAAATCAAGAAAGTAAAGGCAAAAAGTTGTCTCTTTGCCTATGTTTCACAAAATGTTTTCACGAGGATCATGACTCTAAAATCGGCAAAAGTAATTTGGGATTATCTAAAGGAAGAATATGTTGAAGATGCAAGTATTGAATTTAATGGAAGAATTTGAGTTACAAAGAATGAATGAGACATTTAACACACAACTTCACAATGATGAAATATTGTTCACTTTGAGCCCATGTCCTCATGATTTTGCTTTTGATCATCATCCAAAAAATCTCTCAATCATTAAAGTATATGTGTGTTTTATAAACTATTATTTTTTCTCTTATTTTATCGATGTGAGACTTGTTTATATCCCAACAATCTTCCCCTCAAACAAGGGATTTAACATTTCATTTCATACAGCGGAATAGGGTTCTGATACCACCAACTCCACAATGATGAGATATTGTTTGTTTTGGCCTACGCCTTCACAGTTTTACTTTTGGTCATCACCCAAAATGTCTCTCAATCATTAAAGTATATGTGTGTTTTATAAACTATTATTTCTTCTCTTATTTCATCGATATGAGACTTATTTGTATCCCAACAATAAGGTATGATTATTAGGAACACAATTTTTTGATTCTATAATTGTTGAAAAAAATTTAGTAACTATAGCTGAAAGATATGAAGCTTCAATAGGGACCTTGGAGAGCACAAATGATTTGAATAAGATCACTTTGACAGAGGTGTTACATGCATTGCAAGCATTAGAACAAATGAGGCTTATGAGACAAGAAGGAATTGTGGAGGGTGTATATTTAGTCAAATGAAGGTGACAAAAATAAGAAGGAATTGTTCAAGAGAACAGTCAAAATAATAACACTCGAATTTGTCCATTATATCCTTATTGCAAAAAGACTAATCATTCACAACAGAGATGTTGGTGGAGACCTGTTTCAAATAAGTGCGAACAATTAAGATACCTAAAATATGTATGCGAATCTCATGAGCAACAAGAAAAAGTCAACATTACTAAAGATCAACCAGAAGAGGAAAAAGAACAACTACTCTCAATGTCATATTTTATGACCAAAAAACCCTTAAAAGCTTAGATTATTGATGGTGGTTGTACAAATCATATGATTTATGATCAAGAACTCTTTAAAGAACTCAACAAAATTGATATTTCTAAAGTTCAAATGAAAAATGAAGCACACCTTATAGTAAAGGGAAAAGGAACAATTGTTATTAAAAGTTGTTTAGGTTTGAAATTAACATATGATGTTTTTATATGTTCCTGATATTAATAAAAATTTGTTGAGTGTTGCTCAGTTATTGGAAAAGGCTATAAAATGTTATTTGAAAATAAAAATTGTGTGGTTAAAGATATAAACAAGAAAGTGTTCAATGTTCATATAAAAGTCAAGAGTTTTGCTTTAAATTTGGAGAAGGAGGAGTCAATCATAAATGAAGATACAAGTGAAGAGCACAAAGATGCATGTCTTTAAAAGAAACTTGATGATGAAGAGGAGAATGAAGATAATAAAAAACCACCTTCAAAAGAGAAGTTTAAAACAAATGCTAAAATAATCACACTTAGTGTATGTCTGGATTCACGTAACCGATCCACGTTTTAACCGATTTGACGCAGAAGTAAAAATTTATAGTGTCTTATTTTCGCGTTGTTTACACGATTTAAGCCCGTGAAACCAAACACACTGTCAAAAAAAATTGTAACAAAAACCACAAAAAGAATAAATCGATCAAAAAAAGAAAAGACAAATTTTGAAATTCAAATTTAAATTAGGTGATAAAGATATTTGACCAAGAGGAATATTGAGAATATGCCTAAATATCTTTAGGAGAATAAATTAATTTTTGATAAGAATCTTTGATTTATATTTTAAATATTTAGATATAATCTTTTTTGATTATTTTAAAATTTATTTCCTTATTTTTAGAATAACATAATATTAATATTTAATTTTATACGATAATTTTTCTCTATAAATAGAAATTTCATAAATAAAATTAGATTATATCCCTATAATAAAAAGTTATATCTTCACAAAATACAAATATAAAATAACCCATCAAAATTAAATTACACAGGAAATTATTGTTGGATAAATCACGGAATAACAACATATGTAAAACAGATAGTGGCAGAAATCAGTGAGAAATACACAAATGAGGTCACAACTGTGTATGGCAAATACCCAAAATCGCGTTGGTCAGTGAAAGACCCTTTTTGAAACCTTGTACAGATAACAAAATCACGAAAACAATTTTAGTTGAGTATCAACTTTGCCCTGGCATGACCTTGAGAAATCTGAAACTGTTCAGTTATACCTAAATGAGCCATTAAAAGCCATACATGTGTGATCAACTCACCACCTCGTCTAAGCTGTTTGGCATGATGAAGCCCTCTACACTGACTTGCTGCATGACACAGCATCTCCACCCAAACATGACTTATCATTTCCCATTTCTCTTTTTTCGACCATTTTTTGTCCTTTTCTAGAGACTCTAGTGATTTAGCAAGCCTACGTGCATCAAACAGCACAGACTTGCTTCGATCTCCTTTAACCTTTGATGGTGGAACATCTGTATTCACTCGAAGTATCACTTGGCAAACTTGTTCTCTTTTTGATATGTACTTCCTTTCTTGCAAGACTTCACTGGCCTCGGCACACGTGTCTTCAAATCTGATATGCCCTATTCCGTTTGGCAACATAAAAGGACACATAACAAGAAGATATAACATATAATTTGACAACAATTTGCTTATTTGACAATCTTGGATCACAGCACAACTTGAGTTAGCATTTACATCTGAATAATAGCAAAGATCAGTAGCAATATGCCAAAGCAGAAGGCTTTGATCAAACTCTACTTTAGTGCTCCAAGCCATGTCATGGCAGTCCTCCTGTTCCTGAAGAACTCGATCACCCCTTTGAGCACATAATGCTTTGCATGCTTCGGTGTCGTTTGCTTTCTGAGACTTCTCCCGAAGCTGTTCAAAGATGAGTTTTTTCAATTCCCCGGGGACGGTTTCGGTGTATTGATAGTAAGACTTCTCGAAGACTTGATATATGCGAAAGAATTTCTGGATTTTGATGCATTTCACTGGCTTATCCTTCAAGCAAAAACTTATAAGATTGAATTGTGGCATAAGATTAGACCACCTCTGAGTGTGTGAGAGTTTAAAACATCTCTGAAAACATGAGATGGACTTGTGGAGAATATCCACTTTCCAATTAGTCTTATGCTTGCTTAACCAATGCAACGTCCAACTTGAAGAAAGTAAAACAATGACAGAGTATATCTCAAGAAAAATAGCCCCAGCAAAAAGCAGCAAAGTAATAAGGCGGTCAAAATCTATGTGTGCTTTATCTATGAGACAAGAAAATGTAACAAATGCAGAGAGGGTGCAGAAAAAGGTCACAAATTTGAGGAAAATGCCAAGGCGGGAGTATGTGACCACTGCCTTTGTATATAGCTTATCATACATCAATCCAAGCTCAACCTCAATCACTTGAAACGTTTCATTCCATGATATCTTTTCCTGCTGAAAGAAATTTTGGCTGGTATGGTGGTCTTGAAAACTTAAGATGAGATCTGCAAATAGGCACTCGAAAATTGTAAAGAAATAGAATCCATTGTGCAAAGAGGAAGCATCCTGTATGCTTTCATTTGCTATTGCCCCTTGAGAATGATCCAACAGTAAGGGAGTAGATTCAACCTTCAATTCAACTTGATATCCTTCAGCTTTTTTTGCAGTGTAGTCATCCATGAATTTTGCATAGTTTGGTCCCGGGTCTGCAGGAGGGAGGATGGATTCTCTGAACTTTTTGCTGCTTCCCAACCATAAGGACCAAGTCCTCTCACCATATTTGATTATTCCTGCCACCATAATTGGAAAGGTAACATAATTAAGGTTGCTGCCGTTCCATGAACAGTAAACCACATAAACTGCTACTGCTAGTTGGTAGGTTAACCCAAGCAAGTGTCTTAGCCATAGCTCATTATCCTCAATGGAGTAGGCAGTAATAGTGTCAGGGCCACCTAGATGCACAAGTAGGAAGGGTGCCCAGATGGCCATGATTATGAAGTTGGGGTCCACTGAAGGATTTTTGCTGTCTTTGGATAGAATTCCCAGCGCAACGGTCGCAATCCAATCTGCTGATAAATAGCTCAACCAGACACTGATATGTAGCCGTGTGTCTGCTATGTACTTTCTTCGGTTTCCAAAAAGTATTAAGAATAGTTGCAAGAAGAAACTGATTATAACCAGAAGTCTAAGTTCCAAGATACTCCAGACTACTTTTGTCAGATCCGGAATGATATCATTTAAATTTGTTTCCATTGAATGTATCAAACTACTGACAGCTGGAAAACATACGTAAATCAGGGTCAATTTGCTTACAAAGGAAAGAGGACTAATATTGTTTACTCACACCATATACAATCATAAATTCATAATCATTAATGGGAAAGGACTAAATTCTGATTAGTGAAACGAACATTAGTCTTACCGTCGAGCAACATAGTTTTTGTGCTTCTCTTTGATCGTTATTATGTTTCAAGCAATTCCACAACTTGCTGTGCTTAGTATCTGGAGCAACGACTAAGGAAATATGAATGCAGTTTCTGTATGCCACGAACTTGCTATTTAGTGGTGTCTGCATAGATCATGTTTTGGTTAAGGAATACCATCACATCTTTGTTCTCTCAGCCAAGTCTTGAAGTCGAATTCTTCTATTTTTGGCTTGGCCTGGAGTTGTACAGCTGTATCCAAGCATGCATGAGCATGATTTGTTAGCGACAACAATGAAATTAAAAAATTTGTTGATTGATGTTAAATGATAATTATACATCACCTAATATGCATTTGACTTTTCAACGTGCTCATTAAAAATGGAATAATGAACTAGTTTTTTAATCTCACATTGATTAATAATATAGCTAAAGTGGTGTATATAAATGGGATAATTATTCCATTAATTGATTTTGTAAGATTAAATTAAATCTAAATATATGTTTTAAAAAATAATTAGAACATAATCCAATAATTATTGTTAGATTTATTAGGATTGTTATGTACCTCCCATTAATGTGTAATGGGACAACCTTCTCTTTATAAATTAGTTTATGAGATTGAGGTAGATAGACACCCATCTTCCTAAATCCCATAAAAAAATGATCACGTGTGCAAATTATTCATCTACTTGGAAAGACACAATAATTTAGCAAGACCCTTTATTTTCATAAAAAATACCACATGTGCAAGCAAACAACATTTATTCATCCACTAGGAAAGATAAAAATAATTAAGCAAGACCCTTTTATTTTATAGTCTACGTGTGTCTGCAGTCATTGCAGGTCAACCAAACAAACTAGCTTAACTTATTTTGCTTGGTTAAGATCATGAAATTAAACCAAATGATTTTTGTCCGAGTGAGTTGCTTATGACTAAGCTCAATTTGCTTAGTTGGAGCATGGCTGAAATAAGCTCCATGGTATCAAAGGCTGTAAGCAAACTAGCTGATGTTCTGATTCAAGAATCAACAGCGTTGGAGGAGGTAAGAAACCGGGCTGAACTGGTTGAAAGAAAGCTGAGGTACATGAAAGCAATCATAGACCACCTTGAAAGGCTTTCAGTCTCCGATCCCATTGAGCCAGAGTTGATACAGGATATAAAGATCATTGCTGCCAGTGCAGAAGAAATAGGCACCTTCCTCAACACATTAGCCAAGAAGAAGAGGAGGAAAGGTGTTCTCTACTTGCTTGACCAACACAATGTTGCCAAACACCTACAGCAGATCAATAACAATATTGGAGGAATCTGTCAGAGAATAATCAACTATGAATCCTTAGCTGAGTCATTGTGGAATGTTCAAATATTGCGTCCAACAGCACAACCATCTCTCCTTGATGGAGAAGTAGAGATTTTGATCGCCAATTTACTCTCGCATGAGAAGCGTCGCTTCATTACTTCAATCGTTGGAGCTAAAGGCACGGGTAAGACAACACTAGCCAAATTGATATTTTCCAATGAAGCTGTTAAAGCTCATTTTGCTTGTCGAGTTTGGCTGTCAGTGTTTCCACGTTGGAAAGTTAAGCAGTTTCAAAGAGAAATAAGCAAAGTTGCTGCCACACTCAGAACCTTGGAGGAGAGTGAAAAGTATCTCCTAGTTGTTGATGGTATTCAATCTTCCATTTTCTTGGATACTTTGAGAGAGACCATACGCTCCATACCTGACAGGTCAACAGGATGCAGATTTCTTGTTACCACTCGCAATGCCAATGTAGCGCGTCAAGCAGGTACCATATCCTTCGTTTACCCTCTACAGTTATTAGACGATGAACATAGTTGGATCCTGCTTAAAAACAATCTAGGAGGCGTTCCCTTGGAATTAGAACAGATGAAGGTTGCAAAAAAAGTAGTGGCCAAATGCTGTGGCCTGCGATCCGAAATATTAAAATTGAAAATGAGTGATTTGCATTTGCTTTCTCATAGAGATGTGACAAGCCTAGGAGAAAACCCTTGGTCAGAAACATTTGACACAGTCTACGAGAACTTACCTTCATACCTTAGGAGATGCTTATTTTATTTTGAGCTCTTCCCTGCTAGCTTTGCAATTCCTGCAAGAAGGTTGGTTGTGTTGTGGATCGCAGAGGATGTAGTGTACAATGGGAAAGACCAAGAGCGACCAGAGCTAGTTGCAGAGAAGTACTTGACAGAGTTGATAGATCTGAACTTGGTTCAAATTGCCAAGAGAAAGCCCAACGGCAAGGTCAAAACATGTCGTCTCCCTAATGCTTTGCGTCAACTGTTGTTGATAAAAGCTAATGAACTCCCAAAAATTTCCAGAATAGGCCAGGTGGTGGCAGATCGTCTGGACGAAAAAGATATCTGGCACAATCATATTCATGGTGACTCTACAAGTGATTCAGCACCCCTGCAAAACTACTACAAGGATGTTCTCTCCTTCAAGTCTTTTGATACTCGAGAGGGAAGAGCACCTGGACAAGACATAAGTAACTTTCTCAACATGTGTATTTCAAGCAATTGTCTTTTGTTGCTGAGGGTGCTTGATCTAGAAGATGTTTACAAGCCCAAGTTGCCTAAAAGCATTGCAAGACTTACTCTATTAAGGTATCTTGGCCTAAGATGGACTTATTTAGAGTCACTTCCATCGTCTATAAGCAGCTTGTTGAAACTCCAGACTCTTGATCTCAAACATACTTACATACAGATCCTAACCAGCTCCATCTGGCAAATGGAACTGAGACACCTCTACCTGAGTGAGACTTTTCGCACCAGATTTCCATCCAAACCAAAAGCTATAGGTGGTAATTCTCTATCTGACCTCCAAACATTGTGGGGACTTTTTGTGGACGAAGAGACTCCTGTGAAGGGTGGTCTAGACAAATTGAGCAGTATCAGAAAATTAGGAATAACATGTCAATCAATGTTACCACAGCAAGAGGCAATGGAATCACAACTTGATGCAGTAGCTGAGTGGATTATGAGACTAGAACACCTTCAATTTCTGAGGCTAAGATCAAGAGACGAAGAAGGTAGACCTTGGAAATTGAAGTTGAAGTTTTTGGAAGGACACGTTAAGCTCACTGACATGTACTTGCTGGGATGGCTGAGTAGTCCATCTATTCTGTCCCTGTTTCCCCCAAGCCTTGTTGACCTCACCCTATCACATTCCAAACTAGATGTTGACCCCATGCAAATCTTGGACCATCTTCCAAAGCTTCGTTCATTGTCGTTACTTGCAGAATCCTACTTGGGAAGAACTTTGGTTTGCAATCCTCAAAGCTTTCCTCAACTTTATGTCTTAAAGATTTGGAAGCTAGAAGGATTAGAGGAATGGGTTATAGAGAAAGGAGCACTCCCCTCTATGAGACAACTGGAAATCCGATCATGTCCTCGCATGAAAATGTTTCCTCTTGGATTAAAGCATGTTAACAGTCACCTTGAGTTGAAGTTGACAAACATGCCTAAGGAAATCACTACTAACATCGATAACATTCTGCCTCATTGTGATCTACACGTTCATAATTTTCAGTAGAATCATCTTTCATGCCTCCCTTTTGCATGTTCTGGGCATAGTGGAGCCTATATGGAATTGGAAATTGGTTCATTGGGACGTGTATTTTCTTTCACTGTAATTTGAATTGGGACGTTGTTTTCATATATTATATTGTCAAATCCAGATATATGTATCAATAATGGTAAGAGTATTGTGTTATCTACATGTGTAGTATTTTATAACTGAGTACTTAATTTTTTACATTTTTTTTTATTGAGGCTTTGGTGTTAATGTAGTGGTTTTTTATCCATTACTTTACGGTGGTTTTGAATCACCGCAAAATTAACAATTTGACGGTTTTATTGATTCTAAGAATTCAATTGTAAAAATTATAGAAAATTAAGGACTGAATTATATCTTTTTTAACACAGGAACCTGATTAAAAAAAAAAATTAAGTTCAATTACCTATGTAATAGAAATTTTTTGATCACCCTTTTTCCTTCTTCATTCATCATCATCATTAGTATCCTACCATCTAAGAATGTGCATTGACCGACATAGATTGTATAAGTTTAACCAATACTCTTGAATTTGAGTAATAAATATATAATTGTATTAAATAGTTGAAAGAAGAATTTTATTTATCATAATAGATTTATCCAAATTTAATAAGTTTCCCTCTAATAAAAAGTATTAGTGGTTAATAAAAATAATAATAATATAATGCATGTCAATTAGATCGTGTCAATAAAAAACTCTTGTTAACGTGATTTAAAAAATTATTTGAACATGTCTATGAACCCCCAAAAAAAAAATTAACACTATCATCCTATAATAAGTGTCATGTAAGCAAAAAAAAAAAAAAAACATAATATCATTCACATAAATTCCTACTAATATGAAAATCTTGTTAGTCAATAATCTATAAGTACTTATAGAATCTTGAAATAAACCCTAATTTCAGTGAATTCTCAGAATTCAACTCACTTAATCTTTTTGTAAGTATAAAAAAAATTAAATACCAAAATAAGTATCATTTCAACTTTTCAAAATAACTTTAATTACTACCTTTTTTATTTATATCCCTGTAAGTATTGTTTAGAAAATTGTTGTTTTACATCATTTTTTGTAAATAAGATTAATAACAAAGTTAATTTTATAAAATTATTATTGTATTTCATCTATTTATTAGTTTTTCAATGAGGTTACCGTAAAATTTTCTATAAAATGCACAACCTACTTTCTATTAAAAATCTGACTTTTGATAATGTAATTAAGTTTGTGCAAAGAGTAGATGGAAAGCAATCAAGTTATCACAGCTGTGTTCAGAAACACAATACAAATCCTCTTCACTATAATCATTTTAATAAATGATAATAAACCGTATTTGAAATACTTTGATTTTAATAAAATAAAATTATGATAACAAAACGCTTAAACGAAAACCTTGGGTTGATTCTTCTCTCCAAGACTCCAACTTAAACAAGCAGTTATCAATGTTAAAAGTCAGCTTGAACCAGTAAACGGTAGAACCTTATAAGTAGCGAGGAGATCCATTCCAAAGTTTTTAATCCTATCTGCAACTTGTCACACGACCTTACAGTCTGGCTAATGGCAATGAATCAATGTGATAAACAAACTCGCTCAGTCACTGAGTGAGAAAAAAAATCAAAGAGCCGGGCTATAAAATACAAAAATGATGTAGAACTATTATACAACTAGAACACAAATGATTCTCAATTTGGAATGGTCAATAATCAGAAAAATAGGGGTTTGGGGGCACCGAAATCTTGTTCTCCTAGTATAAAACGAAGGCTATTAAGGATGCATTAAGGATGCAATGATCGTAAATGGTCAGTGCCAACCTTTTGTGATGGTCCAAGTTAAGCCACATAGTGTTTTCAATTTACACAATGATGTGAGACAAGTTGATTCCCACCAACTTGGTGCTCAAGAACAGATAAGAATCTAACTCAGTACTTTCCTAAAAGCTTGGAACAAAGCACGATCTCTTCATGAGGAACTAACCTTCTCTACTCTACCTACATGCCATACCTAGTTATTCCTGGAGGATTGACTTGAGCTAAATTAATTCCTTGAGTTCTGATGTTGGCTTCACTCCAGATAAAAGGTGCCGCCATCGAGTCCAAGCTCAGCATCCTCTTCTTCAATCCAGCGCCGGGAGATCCTTCGAGTGTCAACCCCCCCAGACTCTCAAGTGATGTTAGGCAACTTTCAGTGGAGCAGTCAGCCCCTTGAGGCTGGAGAATATGTGGTACTTCTGAAACATGCATTCCAGCAACCTCGGTACATGCTGAGGGGTAAAAGCCAACGTTATCAACTAGGGAACTTCTGGATGTTTTGCTTTCCATCCCTTGAAATTTTTGGTCATCTGCGTCAATAACTATGTCCCCGATAAATTGATCGGCCAACATCTTACACGCTCGCTCAAGCATGCCCATATATCTCCGTTCTGCATCCTGGCGAATTTGCAAGTGCTTCTCTGCCTGCAATACCATAATTCTTAAAAATAGTAAGTGTTAGGGTACATTTATAAAGATATAGAGTTATTTTATTTGATAAATGATGATATGCACCTACAAAAATAAGGGAGATGAGAAAAATGCAACTATGCACCTAGTCTACCTCCAACACCAATCAAAATGGTCTTAAATAATATAACCAGAACAACTAAGCATCTTATATTGTAAAAAGAAAATTTACCTCCACTAGTAAATGTAGTTTACTTTGTACTTCCATCTGCTTTCTTAATTCCTCCTTGACTTCATGACCCCTATACATGACATTGCAACTCTCGATTTGTTTATCAAGAACCATTCAGACACTTAAGCAGGAAAAAATGCTTCTCAAGAAACCATTAAATTCTTACTCGTTTGCATCAGAAGCTGGTAACTTTGGAGATGAGTTATCAGTACCAGGGCTTTCTTGAAGATATGAAGCTGACATCCCTTGCATAGTTTTTTCATCGAGTTAGATAAAGTTTAGACCACTACAAAAAGAGTTTACAATATATACAGTATTGCTAGTGTATTTTTGGCCCTCTTTTGTACAGATGGAAATTCACGAGTCAACCTTTCTCTGAGCAGGGGAACAAAGATAACACATTACACATGTAACCAATCTATTGAAAAGGATACACATACATAATTCAGTTGGAAACATAATATTAAAAAATTCAGATTACTGGAACATAATTCAGAAGTACAGAGAGACAAACCTACCATCTTTGCACCCCTCTTCAGAATCTTTTCCTGACTGCTTACCTAGCCTGTACTTCTGCAATGCAGCAAAGTATAGAATAAAACAAAAAATTATCATGAAGTTTCAATTTCACCAATGATTCTATAGTTGGCTGTTACAACAATGATATGCAAATAAACCTGAAGATGACTCTTTAAATGATAGAGTGTCAAACCCTTGACATTCATGGTCCTCATGATTGCTTTTGGAGTGGCTTCTGCAAATAATAATTTTAATAATATAATTAGAAGAAGACCAATAGAGGTTCCAACTTCCAAGTACTATGAATTATGAAATATGAAACACTTCTTGAGTAAAACTGATACAGTACAATGAAATATCATCTCTCATTATTAAAGATATTTTTGTTGCTACTAAAAGTATTGGGGAGCATGTTCTTTGGTTTGAAGATTTTTCGCTACACACAATTGATCTAGCAAGTTGACATATCTTGGGAGGGAAATTCCAAGTAAAAGAGTTTATCAGATGGAGATGACCCAATAGATATTACTCACATAGTCACATAATGATATTACACATTTTTATAAGAAGCTCCTAGAAAATTACATAGGGAGAAAAGAGTAAATGCCATTAAATTTTTACCTTCTGTTTATAATGTTATTTTGAATGTCCTCAAACTGTTACAACATGCATTAAAGTTGATACCACATTTAAAAGCATAAATCGCCATTTAAGTCAAAAGCCAATCTTAAGCACACAAAAAATGAATCAAGAATAATGATAGATGACTAAATCCCCGTGATCTTTAGAACAATTCTAAAGATGTGCACTCGTGAATAACTTTCCTCAAGAAACAAAACTAAGGCCGAGGTACCTACTACTAAAGCCTTTCTCCTTCACTCATACCTTTATCGTGGCATTATGCTAGGTAAATGCTAAGAAGCAATTTTAGATCCTTGATGAAGGACATGTTTGGATAAACTTTTCAAGAAACACTTCTAAGAAGAAAAAAAAAATGAGAAGAAAAGTCAAAATAAACTTCTTCAAAGTTAAAACTAGCTTATACATAAGTTAAAAAAAGATTTTGTAGAAGTTAACAAAAGAGCGTCAACAAATTAACTTATTTTAACTTATGCAAAAGCTTGTTTCATTTTTCATCCTTGTTTTTCTCTGCAAAAAGTGCTTATGGAAAAGCATACCTAAAGAGGCCCAAACTCAATTTTCGTTCAAGAAGAATAATACATTATAAAAAAAATCTTAACATCAGTTTACGGAACGCATGCATATACTGTAATGCTAAAATGCATACAGAATTAGTATGGTGACAAACTACCAGAATGATGCAAATCAACAGACAATCATGAAATTCGAGACACAACCAAAACAGCCTCATCATAAGTTTAATACTCTGGTGACTAAACCTAGTATTCCACATTCTAGAAGCTTAGGTCCTTCCGTGTGCTATATTGACTGTTGATTTTCACATTATACACTATATAAAAAAAATTGTCGAATTTCAACTTGTTAAGAAATAAAAATTAGGGCTTGCCCCACAGTTTAAGGCACACTGATCATAAAAGGCAGAATAATTTTGTTTGAGGTCAGCGGTGAATACATGGTTACACAAACTATTAGGAGAATAACCCCACAGCTAATTGAGCCAAACCTACATTTCCCAGCATATATATAACAATACAATTGAGTAAGAAGATAAAGACCCCTCCTTTCCCTGCTAACATAACATGAAAAACCAAAACCAAAGCATCAAGCTAATAATGCAAAAAAAAGACATAGCATATATATAAATTTAGAGTATATTTCAGTGATGGGGTCCATGTGGATGAGAATTAGATGAATGAAATTGGAAAGGGGAGAAATGACTGACTACTGGCACCCCCAAGCTGAGTGACAGCATCAACGAAGCGTTCGTGAAGGTCAGCGGTCCAACGAAGACGAGGTTTGGGATCAGAAGTGAGAACAAGACAAGGGTCTCCGAGGTGGGGAGGAGCCTGCATGTCTTCCTGGGGTTCATGGGGATGTATGAGCCTGGAAAACATGTTCCTCGTACTTGTTGTATGGCGAAGAAGAAAGAGAAAACGTAATGCTATGGAAGACCCATTTGGCGAAAGAGGAAGAGTGGGGCGAATGGGGAAATGGGGATGTGAAAAGCACAAGACTTTGGGTTGGAGCTGGCACTGTCACGCTTTACTGGGATTTTGTCACTTTCTCCTGCTTTTGCTTTCTTCTTTTAAACTAAATTACAAAATTAAACAAAATTTATATATTCACACACATTCACATTCACTGCTTTTGCCGCTCTCTGCTTCCCTCCAATTATTTTTCTGTGGCCTTGTTAGGGTTTACATAATTGGGAATTGGGAATTCCAATCTTTGTTATGAGTTACGACATGCACAATGCACAATGCACAATGCACAATGCACAATGCACAATGCACAATGCACAATGCACAATGCACAATGCACAATGCACAATGCACAATGCACAATGTGTAGTCCAGTCCATCATCAGCGTCCTGCTACTGTCTACTAGGCCACATCCCTACTGTCTTGTGGGCTATGCCAAGAGTCCATTGGACCAATTGTGGTCCTCTCTCTCTCTCTTACACGCACCTTTTTTTTTTAACATAATATTAGTGACTTCGATATTCATCTATTTTTTTATACTGAATTATCATGTTGTTACGTAATGTTCATAAACAAATACAAATTTATCTTTTTTTTTCTTTTGTCAATTAAAACTTAACTAGTCACTTATAAATTTATAATAATTTTTTTTTGCTAAGAGTCATGTTGAGTAAAATAAAAATATTTAATATATAATTTAAATCATAAAATTTTCTTAGTTAATCAACTAATCTTTTAGATTGAACTCTCCTTTTTCTATTTAAGTTACACTGGTTATTATATTTTTTTTTATCGAGAGTTAGGTTAAAAGATATATTTATAAGTTAAATTAAGGTGCAAATTGAATATTAATAACCGAATGAAGTCATTGCAACATTGATTCATTGTCATTAGTAAAAATTATCATGAACTAAGAATGATAATGAATAGGATTTGGATAGGGTCCTATAGTACTCGTTTCATATTTGTATTTAAAAATAATACACATATCCGGTCACACCTGTGCGGATAGCAATTTTAATCTCTGCATTAATTGAGTGTCTGTGTGTTCATACATGTATTCATGGTTCGCATTTCACTTATGTATAAAGTAAATAAATCAATAAAGAGATAATATTTTATACAAACAAATATAATATAAAATTATTATACCTTTAATATTACAAAAATCTAATATAATAATTTTTATAAATAAATATTACAAAACATTCAAGTATTGCAAATAAACTTAAAAAAATATAATAAAAGTTGTAAATAAACTTCCAATATTATGATGTGTTAACAATATTCTCTAAGACTTATGAAAAAGTTATATAGAAATTAGTTATATTGAAATATATATTATAAATTTCAAAAAAATAAATATGTAAATATTTGACCTCATTATTAGAATCAAATTCTCCATATTTTTGCAAATACTTGTCATCCAAGTCTATATATTTATTTAGGTTCAATAATACCAATAGAAACTACATTACAAGAAAAATGAATGATTAGACAATTCAAATCAATTTAAATAAGTAATAATAAATAAAATATTTATATTAAATAAATAAAGTTTAATTATTTATTACCTTATTAGTTGTATTTCAACTAACTTTATGGATACATAAGTACCTGCAAATGACAAGCGATGACATAATGGGTGAGTGAAGACACAAGATTATAAGAAAAAAAAATGAGACTAAACAAGGTTTCAATTATAATATCACAAGACAATTTAAATAAATAAATGAATAAATTATTATTAAGTATCATAGTAATTGTATTCGCATCTGTACCCACTAAATTTTATGGGTCTATATCTATTTCGTACCCATCTCCATATAAACAGATATTTATCCATCCTGCATGCAAGTATTTTTGCAAATACCCATAAAGTTCAGATCCATCAACTCTTAACAAAAATAGCAATATTAAAAGTCCCACATTAAATAGAAGAAGATGCTTTATATACTACTTAACTCATGAAATTCTCTCACCTAATCAATTAGTTTTATTGTTGAGTTCTCTTCTCAAACTTCTTTTCCTATTTATAAAACTTAAATTTGAGATCTGAATTAAAGAAACTTAAATCAGCTTCACTTAATAATTTTTTTTTATGTAATATTGTAATTACTATATATAGACATAAGATTATTTTAAGACGTATAGTTATTATAAAAATATAATAAATAAGTATATATGTATATATAATACTTCATTATTAGAGGACGATATCAATACATTTTTAATTAAGTTATATTAAGTTGTTCTATTTATCAACACATAGTTATTCGTAAATTAAGTAATGACACAATATGAGTGATGATGGATGTAAAGTGATGCTAAGACAAAACTAAAGGTTTGACCAATATAAAGTTGTAAGCCAGAAAATTAAGTGAAGAAATAGTAGATTAACCATTGTAAAGCTTTATTCACTAATTTGTCAATAAGTTTGATTATAATTGTCACCAACTATGAGGTCACGTATAATAAAATTACATTGATAAAAATAAGAACTTTTTATCGAGATCGAATCAAGATTGAGCATTAAATTATTTGTCATCAACTAACAGTTTTATTTTTAAAATTAAGATGACACTACTTTGTTATTAGAATTCCTTTTTTTGCAAATATAAATAATTTTTTTGTCTTCTATTAAAATTTCTCAAAAAGAAGTTGTACCTTTTCTGTGTAGATAAGAAGAATTGTGAATTGATGAAGAATTTTATTCTACAAATTTCTCTTCAAAAGAGAGTGATAGAATAAAAAAATTATTATATTCCTCCTTAAAAGAATGAGGGTCGTGCTTGTACTATATTTAGTAAGAATTCCCGTATAATCATCCAAGAATGATAAATTTATTAAGAGCGAATTTGATCGGTGAGAAATAGGTAAAAAAAAATTATAAGAAGAAGAAAAACGAGAGAGATAAATAAATGTAATGATTTGGAGGATGAGAAATAAGGGGTGAAAATAAAAATAAAAAAGTGTTAGGCTTATATATTTATGTTGCAACTAAATTAATTTTTATTCATGTCACAAATCACTAAATTAATTTTTTAAAGTTTAGGATAAAGTAAAAAGATGTAATATAATCACATTTTCAAGTCTATAAAATAATGGTTAAACGAAAGAGCATCGATAAAATTGAACATTAACCTAAATTTGAAGAGATAGTAGTAATAAAATACGTTGACAAAATACAAAATTATAAAAGGATAATACTTTAGACCAAAGTCAGCGTACGTATTGCCGTGGCCCTTCAATTGGGCTCGTTGGAACATGCATGCTGTAACAAAGTCATAAAAATTGTTGTGTTTAGAAAGTGTTATTAGAAACAATCTACAATTTGCTCTTTCAGTTGAAAAAGACAACTTACTTGAAGGAAATCTCATGGACTAAAACCTATTTCTGCTATACAACTGGTTTTGAATGTTGTTTTGGGGGACAACGGTGATTTGGTCTTATTGAAGATTAATGTTGAATTATTGGAGCTACAATACAACTTTAGGCCATGACTTAAGGCACATAGGTTTTTGTCTATGCTTTGCATTGTGTGACACATGTCCTCCAAACACTATTTCTCATTTATATTTAGACCAAATTAAAAAACAGCCTGTCAAAATTTCCATTTTCTAATGACATGGTCTTTCATATCTACAAGTTAATCATTTCTATTCCATTTTCATCAAAATTTACACCAATTAAAGATTTGCTTGGTCAAGTAGGTACCACCCATCTGATTTATAGACTTTATATATACGTATGTAGTCTTTTTGTTTTTGCAATCTTGATATGATTACATTTGAAATGGCCTTATTTCGTGTAAGTTGGTATAATAAATTTAGGGTTAAACGTTACACTTTTCCTTAGTTACGTTTTATAGGACTAGCTAGCATAAACGTTGTTTGATATCATTCTTATAATCTTTTAGATTAGTCTTCTCCCATTTGTTTTGTTCAATTCTTGAACTTTTTATTATTATTAGAATTAGACTTTTCAAATAAAAAAGATATGACTGCACTCTACCAAAAGAAAAATGGTGAAACGTAGAAAATGTTTATTTTTCTTTTTATTACTGGCTTTCTCCTTAAAACACCATAAACTCTTTTTTACTTTCATATTAAATAATTGAATTTAAATTTCTCTAGCCATTCAACCAATGGCCCCATCAATACAAAAGTAATGAGATATTTATATTTATATTTTTGCAGAGAAAAAAAGTAATGAGGTTATGAAGCTATGTGGAATTCCATATTGATAGCATGTTATGCAGATTAAGCGGGGCCGATTAAATAGATCTTGTTCTCATTGCATGTGCAATCCATTATATTTTAAAAACACTCCTGTTCATCAAATTACTTAGGATATATATTTAGTACATCATATAAAACCTCTTGTTAATTTCTGCGATTTTGATTGACTAGTTGCATTTAGAGGTTATGAGTAACACATGACACATGGTCATGATTCATGTCCTGTCCATGTAAAATGATTTATTAAAAAAAAAATGACATATCGACCAAATTTAAATCCATTTGACTATAACTTAAAACTGTTCGTTTTTCTCTCTCTACATTTTCTGCATAGAGATATATACCTGATTACCTATACAATGTTTTTTTTTTTAATCCATTCCTATACTACGTATAGATTAGTGCGGCAAACACCAATTTAACCTAACATTTCTCATAATAGTTTATCACGTATTACCAAGTTGATCGAGTTAAGGATGTATTAAATCTCATAATAGCAGATATTTTATAAAGTTATTTTAACATAAAAAATTCTTGTAGATATATATTTACTAGTTTGTTATTTAACTAATTATAACTAATAAAATTAAAAAAAAAAACAGTGTGCAAAAAATGATTTTTTATTGTTATTTTATCCGGGTCTGGCCAACATGCATTATTCATGATGGGGACTCTAATTTGATGCTCTTCTAATGGCAGACACTAACATTAAATGAAGTGTGCTTCATGGGAAAGAAAAATTCTTGGAAGATATATGATTGCTTGCAGGTCGCTGATACTAAAGTATCATTATTGTACTAAGCATGGAAAGCAACAACTTAAGAAAAATAATACGAGCACAACAATAGCCTTTTAATTAAAACTAAGCCATTTGAAGCCAAGCCTGGTTGTAGTTGGTTACATCACCCCCTAATAGACTAATTAATCTCTACCAAAGTACAAAATTGTGTGATAACTTGGACGAGGTTACTTAATTCCCATCAATTTTGAGAGAATTTTACCCCACTGGACCTTATATATACATAATAAGATAAGATTAGGGAAACATTAAACGCTAAAAATGGACTAATGGAGTTGGAGTGTCTTTTTTCCATCACAGAAAAGTAGGTCAGAGTTTGTTGATAAGAGGACAAAGTTGAGGTGATGTGTTTGAGTGTGATTTGCTTTGGAGGTGAAAGATTATGAAAATGATGGGTGTGGTAGGGTGGTAGGTGTGAGCTTTCTAGTCTTTGAAAGTGGAGAGTCAGTGGCTGGAGAGAGAGGGAGGTCCCTCTTGTTGTTGTTGAAAGGGAAAGTGGTTTTGGTAGAGTCATGAGGTGAAATGGCCACCGGAGGGATCTCAATGGAGTTGAGTTGTGGAGGAGGGTGTTGCCACTGTGGGAGTGGTCCTGCCAAGAGAAGGGTCTGAAGCAGTGGTCCAGCTTCAACCACTGCCTTCAGAAGTTTTCCTTTCTCAGGCAATGCTTTCTTTTCGGCTAACTCCAACACCACCTGCAGTGCTGTTGGACTTCCACCACAAGAGGGCATGCTCATGCTGTTTTCTTCACAGTCAGAGGAAGCAGAATGCTTCTCAGAGAGCACTTCTTGCACCTCTTCTTCACTCTCTGATATGCTGTCTCTTTGCTGTCTTTGAACTATTTGTTGTTCCTGCCGCTGGAGTTCTTTCTGGAGCTCTAGCTTTTCAAGCATTAGCTTCTGGCATTTTGCTTCAGCCTCATCTCTCTCCTTCATCACCCTGCTTAAGAGATCATTCACACGGATCAACTCACATTCTCTTCTGGTAATCTCCTCCTTGGCTGATGCAATTGTTGCATCTAGCTCCAAGGTTGTGTACAGAAGAGAATGTCTCAAGTCCTCTAGCCCCTGCTAGTTCAACAATCACACAATACAATACTAAATAAACAAAAACAATTGAAAAGAAAAGAGATTTAATTAACTTTGACCAAGGCATTTAGCAAAGTAGCAAACACACCTCTTCCTGGTGGTAGAATTCCCAGCCAAGAGGGCTACATTCATATTCCATTTGTTGCAATGGGAGGGAGAGTATCTGTCTTGGATCTTCAAGTCAGGAATATTGTGTAGTACTAGATATCCTGGTGCCTACTTTCCTTTTATTCTTGCATTAACTTTACTTCATGGGACATGGAGTTGAAAAAAGGACAGAAAGCGCCAAAATTTTAAAGCACAAAGGGCAAATGGTAAGTGCATTTGGCTTTGTACAGAAATAGGCACTAGAATTCGGTGGGGGTAGGGAGAGGGAATGTGATTTCATATGGTCCAACTTGGAACCTAATCCTCTTCATATTGAACCTTTTAGGTAGCGGCGGATGGCACGTGTGTACATGTAAAACTCAAAGTAAATAATTTTGAGTATGTCAATCAAAAGTAACTAGTTCCAGTTCCACTTGGTTTATTCGGTTTCAGACATAGGAAATAGTTAGGTAGTTTTAACTACCTAGGTAAATAAATAACTCTTGATGAAAAGTCTAATACCAACAACTTTCGTTTTTGTTCACAAATTGGTGCTTATATTCTGTATTTTCTTCTCAAAGATTTGTACTTTATCAGAATGGAAAGATTGTGATCTTCATATGAATTTGGCAACATAGGCAAATTGGCTCAAAACAAATATGATCAAAACATTTAGACATATAACAGGGAGCCTGGCTTCAAGGAATGTGAGATTAATCTTAACCGTTACTTTTTTGTTTATATATTTCTATTTGGTCAGACTTGAACAAAAAAAAAAGTCTAGTTAGAGGAATGATTAAAGGCGTAATATCTTATTTCCTTTTCCTTTTGTGTGTATGTGCTTTGATTTTACATTTTGACTATAAAGAGGATTTTGTTATAGCTTTATTAGTTATTATCACGCCATCCCATACCATATACTATAAAGCATGTATTGTTCTTACTTTTTCCCTCCTCAGTCCTCACACCCTCCATCATTTTCCTGTTCTCACTCAAATGGTTATAATGCAATGTCGTATCCTCTTGTCCAATGAAAATGACACATCAACTTTTAATTTTTAACCTATATTCTCTAGCCAATTTGATGGTTAACCTCTACTCACCTGCTGATTGGAAGTAAAGTTATGTAAATATCATTACACAATCTGGTTTTCCGCTACCTGAAAATGATATTTGGATCATCTAACAAGTTAACCATAGTAAGACTAAGATATGAAAATTGAAAAGTGCCCATCACTTGCAATTATAAACCATCAACATATTATTGTCTATTGAAAAGGATTAATAAGAGCACAAAAATTGGGAGATTATGAAAACTGCATGATCTTGATCTGCTACATTGCATACCTTCCGGTCAAAGAAGGGAGCAAAGAAGAAATGTGTTAATTTTTACCAAAAACCAAAGGGAGCATATGAGATAATGGTGGGTCCATTTTGTAGCTATTTTTCAGAATAAAGTTCAATCCTTTTAGATCGAAAGGGGGGAAAAGAATAACGGCTTATATATGCAGCACCTAACATACTGTTTTGGTAGAAAATGGTGGCATTGATCTCATTGCAACCGTGTGGGTCCTCATATACCCTCTTCACACTCTGGTTTCCTAATGTCCCATGCACCAAAGTAGTAGGATGAAGAATGTTATGCATACTGACAAATTTACATACACTTTTTTTTAAGACAAAACAAAATAACCCTTCACGTTTGTCTACGATTACATTGAATACCATTTTCTGCTATTTGTAAAATTCAATGTTTAAGATAACTTTATGGGAACCAGTTAACAATCAGTTTTTATTCAAAAGCCACAATTTCTGCCATTTGTGAGAAAATTCTCAATATATAATCAACATTTGAATTTAATGCTTTAAATTCTGTTGAGGGGAAGTAAAAAAAAAATCCTAGAAAAGGAATTTGCATGGGTCTCTAGAAGTAATTTGAGTGCTTATGAACTATTGTGGAACTAGGGAAAAGAAAGTGATGGTGGCGCTAGCGTGCATGAAAAACTGCAATAATTGGCAAAGATTATCTTTATCTTTGTACTTGATAAGATAAGATTCTTAGAGATTATTTTATATAATAATTAATTATTTGATGTAATCTAGGTGAATTTACTAACCATGATTAACATAAATAATAATAATTTATTCATTTTAATCAAATTATTTAAAATTTTGAATATAAAATAAATTATGTTAGAGAGGAAAATATTTATAAACAGATATTATTTTCCTTTAGTTTATTTATAGATTGTACATAGTAGATTCAGCGTGTGTTTGCTTATACGTTGAAAACCACGTTCAACGTAGAAACTATTAGTAATAGCTTTTACGTTAAACGTGATTTTTCACGTTTTCAACGTATAAACAAACACACGCTAAAATGTAGTCTTCTACGTGAACGAGCCACGTGTATTTTTTTTATAATGATTTTCATCGTTTCTTGTGCATTTTTTTTATATTGATTACGTCATAAGTACATCTTAAACATAATATAATTTAAAAATTTTCCTAAATTGCTGCAAATTGAAGGAAGATAGTTTTGTTAGAAAATGAAGGAGGCAAAGTTTCATGAACAGGGCTTTGATAAAGATTAAGTAAAATTATATTAGTAAAGTAATGTTATGTTAATTAGTTATTGATTCGTGCAGTGACGCGGTTTTGAACTTTAGAATGTTGGGGAAATGAGATACTTTTTGTCTCCGTTTGCATGTGAGGAAGCTATAGATGGAAGGCCCACGCAACTAACCCTAAATCTTTAAAATCTAATTATGGATGTTTCGGCTAATCACCACTCCCATTTTATCTAATAACAAACCCCATTTTACTAACCATCATTCTCCTAACTTTCTAAAGTAGTTGTTATAAAAAAAGTTAATAGATATTTAGTGTATAAGATAATATGATCGAATCATTAGTATAAAAAAATATTTATATTATAAATGTGAGAGACCATAATCACATTTTTTCTAACATTTTTTAATATTTTATTAATTAATAATTATAAACTATAAATTTTGATAGATCTTATTGTTAAATAAAAAATATTTTACTAAATAAAATATGAGATTCATAAAATTTATAATTTTTAATAAATTTTAGTTAATAATAAAACAAATATTAAAAAGAGAGTGTTGTTAACATTTTTCATCGATGTATATATTATTTTTTAGTATTAATACAATGAATAATTTAATTACTCTATTATCATTGTTAAAATTTAATAAAGATATCCAAGATAATATAAAATTATAATTCAACGATTAAATTACCTAAATTTAATTTTTATATAAGATTATTAATGATGTAACATTCAATAAAATTTACACTTATTCTAAATTTATTTCGTTTAATAACTCATATTTTATATCAAATTTTAACGATTTAATCATTGAATTTGAAGTTTTTAATACATAAATCAAATTTATAAATTTTTAAAAAATTTAAAAATCATTTAATAATTTATTTCATTAATTTAAATTCATGGATAATCATTAAATCATTTTATACCATAAGATAAATTTATTTAATGAATTATCAAAATTGTCTTAATTAAATTTTATAAAAATTTGTATACTTTATTTTTTAATTATTTTTTAATTTAATAATTGAATTGTTGAAACTTAATATATATATATATACACACACGTAAAAAGTTATATAATTATGAATATTAGTGGAATATCTTAGTAATTAGTGGAATATATCTTTGTAATTACTCTGTAAATATTTTCTAGGCTACAATATATCAAGATGAGATATCTTCTTGATATGTTTTCATATATTAGTTTTATTTGTTTTCTAGGTTAGCTCTGCTATTTATGCAAATGCTAGAAAAGTTTTGTATATATTCATGACAATGGTCAAATTCAAAAACAAATAATCATTCCACAAAATCCTATATGGTATCAGATAAACTCCAAATCAGGAGACGATGACCATTTTTTTCAATCGTTTTTCAACAATTGAAACCTTAAATTTTCCACCATAAACTCTGATTTTTCTCATTTCATCATCGGTGACACTGCAACAACCTCAAAGCCTTTTGCTCAAGCATCCATCCAGGACTCAGATTATCGTGGCATTCTTAGTCTCTCGGATGATCAATGGGTTACGCTTGTGCACATGCTCAACACTTCAAAAGGAAAATCTTCTTCAACCAAAAAGTTGAGTGGTAAGTTGGATTCTTCTACGGATTGGATCATTGATACTAGATGCTCGAATCACATGACTGGTGATGCTAGATTATTTAGTCAATTATTTGATGTTTCTCCTACTTCTATTGGGCTGCCTAATTGTAAACAAACCATTGCCACCAAGGAAGGAATGATAACTTTGCACAAACATATGGTGCTACATAATGTATTATATGTTCTAGATCTTACTTGTAATTTGTCGTCAGTGTCTCACTTGCTAGCTAATCTTTCTTATTTTGTCACTTTTACTAACAAGCTTTGCATCATACAGGATTGTGCTTTGATGACTCTGATTGGAGAGGGTGAGCAATGTGATGGGGTCTATTGGTTTTGGCCTTTGCAACAACTTCAAGCTTACCAAGCAACTATGGGAGATAAAAGAGAGTTGTGGCATCAAAAGTTGGGACACCCTTCTCGAAAAGTATATTTTCTATTACCTGATAACAATAACGAAAGCAAGGATGTTAATGTTATCCATGAACCTTGTGATATTTGTTTAATAGTCAAACAAACTAGAAGCATATGTTCTTCGAGTAATAGTAGAGCAATAAATGTTTTTCATTTAATTCATTGTGATATATGGGGTGCGTATACTTTGTCTGTCATTTGTGGTGCTCATTATTTTTTAATTATTGTTAATGATTGTTCTCGAGTTGTATGGGTTTATTTGATGACTACCTGAGGTCCTTCAACTTATTAAGGATTTTTGTAGAATGGTTCAAACTCAATTTAATAAGCATGTTAAAATTCTCCGAAATGATAATGGAAAGGAATTTACATGTCTTCATCGATTTTATGCTAATAATGGTATTATTCATCAAACTTCCTGTGTTGACACTCCACAACAAAATGATAGGATAGAACGCAAACATTGACATATTCTTAATGTGGCTCGGGCACTACTTTTTCAAGTTAATCTTCCTATTTCTTTTGGGGGGAGAGTATAATGACAACTGCCTATGTTATCAACCAAACCCCTATCCCATTGCTCAATAATAAAACACCATAAGAAATTCTCTTTGGTTCATCTCCTAAGTATGATGTCCTTCGTGTATTCGGTTGTCTTTGTTTTGCCAATAATCAACCTCGTGTGAAGGAT